CCAGTTCCAGCAATTCTCCTGCCTCAGCCTCCCAAGAAGCTGGGATTACAGGTGCACGCCACCACACCAGGCTAATTTTTGTATTTTTAGTAGAGATGGGGTTTCACCATGTTGGCCAGGCTGGCCTTGAACATCTGACTTCAGGTGATCTGCCCACCTCAGCCTCCCAAAGTGCTGGGATTACAGGCGTGAGCCACCCCGCCCAGCCTCTTTTAGGTTTATTGTTCTGGATAAGGGCTTTTCAATTTTTCTTCTGCGATTACAGTCATAAGCCCCATGGTGACACCTGGGTCAGCAACACACTGCAAGACTGTAACAGAGACGGGTGCATCCTTAGGGTGTGAGCCGTGATGTTTGTGCGGCACCAGTCATCGCACAACCCGTTTCTCAGACTGTCTTGTCACCAAGTGGAATGAGATGCTACTGTTTTCCCATTGACACCTGTCATCTCTGAAAAGCGTGGTGCAGGGAGGTGGAGCCCACTCCACTTTCCCTCAAACAGAGCCAAATCTGCAGCTCCTTCATCAACCAGCAGATCCTTCTGGCACACAGTGCCATCTCTGGGGATAGCCCGCCCTAAGCATCCCAGACGGGGACTCTGGGCCCCACCATTCCCAGTGTGGTGCACCCAGGGCAGGCCCTCTTGGGCTGCCAGGGAGATGCAGGTGCCAGGCTGCTGCAGTGGCCCTTCTCCTGGGAGGGGCTTTGTTCCCAGGGCTGCCTCCTTCCTGGCTGCCCTGCCCCACAGCATGGATGAGGGCCCCAATTCTGCAGGTGGGCCTCGGGCTGCCTGAACCCCTCCTGGAGATCCTGGGGGCTCCCTCACCACCACACATCTCCTCTGCTCGATGCAGAGGTCTAGAATGTGTGGCTGGTGAAACAAAGAAAGGCTCTGCCACCCCCAATCAGGGCCTCCGCCATACGAGTGACTGATGCACCAGCACCCAGATGAGGCCTGGGCAGCAGGAAGAGCAGCAAGAGCCGCCATCAGGGGCCCAGCACACAGGTATAGCCCCGAGCCGCCACGAGGCTGCACACCCACCGAAGGGCCGCTTGCCTAGGCCCAGGCAGGACAGGTGGTAGGCCTTGGTGCAGAACTTGCGGTCACACAGCACCAGCTGCCCGCCATCACCACAGCGGAAGCACTCATCCTCCGACTGCCTCTTCCCTTCCCCTTTGGCTCGGCGCCGCCTGGTTTTCTTCTTGGCCTTTTTGCCTTTTTCCTCTGAAGAAAGGGTCGTCGAGGTCTAGAGTCAAGAATTAAGCACAGGTCACTGGAAAGACTTACACGGGCTGAAGCAAACGGGGCAGAAGAGCGGCTCACGATCCAGGAGCTTCAGAGGTCTCTGCAGGTGCCCTAACACTAAGCAGGGGGGAGAGGGTGACCGGCTCGCGCTCGCCAGACATCCTTAGACTCACTCGACCAAGCGTGAAAAAGCCAAACAAAGAATATGACTAGAGTGAGCTTCGTCAGAAGCCTGCAATGACGGACCTCAGCAGACACACAGCCCCGGGATCTGCTGATGGGACCCCTGGGGCCAAGGAGGCCACCACAGGCAGAACAGCTCCCACGCCTGCCACCCGGGCTCTCCTCATTAGGAAACTCCACAGGAACATGGGTACAGGCGGGCAGCAGTGGCCTGAGAGCACTGGCAATGTGGCTGAGGACAGACACCAGCTTAGGGCCCAGGGAGGACACCACCACCAGGCTTTCAGGCCCAGATTCCATGCAGCACAGAGCAGAAGTGCTAGAGTGCAGCCCAAATCTGTCCTTCCTGGAACCTTGGCAGGTGACTGTATTTGGAAATAGGGTCATTGGCAAAGTGATCTGTTTGGACAGGGTCAACATGGCAGCAAGCAGGCCCTGGGTCAACAGGACCGGTGCCCTGAGAAGAAGGGCACCTCAGCAGACGCGTTCGCAGGAGAAGGTGGGGCGGGGCTGCCACAAGCCAAGGAGCAGCAAGGGCTACGGCTGCCACCAGGAGCAGGACACATGCCTGGGAAGGAGCCTCTGGAGGGCGCACAGCCTGCCTGCACCCTGATTTCAGACTTCTGGCCCCCAGAACTGCGAGACAGTGTGCTCCTGTTGGTTAAGCAACCCGTCAGTGGCGCACTGCTCTGGGAGCCCCAGGAAACACTTCCAGTGAGGAGCTCTTAACAGTTGGCCTTTGCTGAGAGGCACTGCCATGCCCGCCCACAGCAGGGGCCTCCTCCCACCTGTCCCAGCAATAAGCCAGCTGGAGGAAGCGCCTATCTCCAGAGGTGTGACATGTGTGAAATGGCAGCACAGAGCCTGGAGGAGGGACGGCGTGGCAGCCTGACCTTTGGTCTGTCCCCGAGGAATCCACTGCAATTGGAGGCTCCACACCGGCAGACTGTTTTTTCATTGCCCAAACAATCGAGGTTGTAGTTAAAAGTCAGCTCTGTCCCTGAGAAGAAAAGATACACACCACATTGGAAACAACCACCTTTCTCTTCAAAGCTAAGGGCATGTATTAGTTCAACAAAAATACGCTATGATTCTCCTGTCTGTACTGGCTCAATCCCTGGCCTTTCCATTTTGCTTGGTAAAGGAGATTCAGATTAAAAGTGGACTTCCACGTCAGCACCCACCTCCTCCAGAGCCTTTCCAGTCCAGCCCCACGCAGCTCACGGTGATGGCCACTTTGCCCCCACAGCCAGAAGCCCCACACAAGGTGCCCAGAACTTGTACCTGCTGGAATGTCACAGACGGCAAACAGGCCCACACGAGTGTCCCCGTTCACTGTCCACTTGAGGGTCTCACAGTTGGGCTGGCAGCTGTGATTCATAAATCGAGAGTAGTTTCCTTTGGGGCCAGCGTCAATTATACGGTCCTGTAAGGTCAAGCGATATATGAGGACAAGTGTTATCACTCACGTGTTATTTTTAAAGGGAATTTTCACCATCATAAGGCACACTGAACAAGTTGTGTTCCTTGTCGTACTGAAAACCGTGGTGTCCCATGTCCACTCAGACAGGACACCCCCAAACCAGTCCTGTTTCTCTTGCTCACAGAGGACAGGTCGGGACCACATGGAGAGGACCGAGCCTTCGTGAGCGCCAGGGAAGACAGGACCGGGAGCCAGAGCTCCCAGCATCCTCCATGACGGCAAACACAGGAACTAAAGGTCAACGCCAACAGCCTAGCCTAGTGGCACTCAGGGACAAGACCAAGACTCACCCTGGCTGGGTGCAGTAGCTCACATCTGTAATCCTCGCACTTTGGGAGGCCGAGATGGGCAGATCACCTGAGGTCAAGAGTTAGTGACCAGAATGGCCGACATGGTGAAACGCCATCTCTACTAAAAAATACAAAAAAATTAGCTGGGCTTGCTGTTGGGCACCTGTAATCCCAGCTACTCGGGAGGCTGAGGCAGGAGAATTACTTGAACCCGGGAGGCAGAGGTTATGGTGAGCCAAGATTGTGCCATTGCACTCCAGCCTGGGCAACATGAGCAAAACTCTGTCTCAAAAAAAGAGACTCACCTGGCTGGGTGCGGCGGCTCACTCCTGTAATCCCAGCACTTTGGGAGGCCAAGGCGGGAGGATCACCAGGTCAGATTAAGACCAGTCTGGCCAATATGGTGAAACCCCATCTCTACTAAAAATATAAAAATTAGCTAGGCGTGGTGGCACGCACCTGTATTCCCAGCTACTCGGGAGGCGGAGGCAGAGAAATCCCTTGAATTCGGGAGGTGGAGGTTGCATTGAGCTGAGATTACGCCACTGCACTCCAGCCTGGCAACAGAGCGAGACTCTGTTTAAAAAACAAAACAAAACGCCTCACCCAACTGAAAAACCAGCAAAGAATGCAAAGAAACAATTCACAAGGAGTAAATCCAGACAGACAAGCCTACAGGAAGACATTCAGATTCTCAAGCAGGTGGAGAAATGCAGATCAGAGTGACAGTGAGCTCTGACTCTGCACCCATGACGCTGACGTCACACTGGCTGAGATCAGGGGGTGGCTGCAGGCCTAGCAGGGAGGCTTTGAAGAGCACAATCTGAGAAGAGCCAGGAAAATCACAAATGCAAGCACAGTGTGGCCGAGAACTAACCCAGTGAAATCCAGGTGCCTGGAAGCCAAAGGCAGGAACTGGCGAGAACATCACCACTCAGCAGCAGCGGGAGGCAAACAGCCCCGGCCTCTACCCTAGGAGTCGCCAGCTGCACCACACAACCGCGTGGGGGGCAATCAAAAGCCCACATAAAGCATACAGTCACATGTTCATGCAAAACCACGAGTGTGAATGGGGATAAATATGGACATACGGACGTCCATAAGCTGTCTCATTGTCCCAGGAAGCAGCTTAGAGTCACTATTCACACACCTGCCCAGGCACTCAGCCCTGATGCCATCTCCCAGGGTACCCCTGAGACTACTGGGTCCCTGTCCCTTCTACATACCCACCCAGGCCATCCCTTTAAAACGAGAAATGGTACCAGAATGTGGTTCTCTGCAAGGTGCTTTTCACAATAATAAAATGCACTAATCAAGCCAGGGTGCCACCCTTCAACACCTGCACAACACCCCTTAACACAAAGCCCTCTGCCGGTGCTTTGTCATGGCGCACTGAGCCCAGGTACGATGTGCATGTTGGCACGCACACCCACACTTCTGCAGGACACCGGGGACCAGGATGGCACGGGGCACACACGTGGGACACGCTGCCAGTGCCAACAGGACTGCCCCAGCCTCTGATACCTGGCATCGCCATGTCTAACCGACACTGCTCCCATTGCCAGCAGGGCCTAATGCCACCTCTGATCAGGCGAGTTCGCCTCTGTGGGTGGCCCGCCATAACTTGGCCCTGTTTTATGTATCTTCTTAACTGATTTGCAGATGTCTCCTAGATATTCCGAACACAGGCCCCTGCCCTGTGTAATGATGTGTCAAAACCTTCCTGTAGCTTCCCAGCTCCCACTGGACTCTTCCCTGCACGGTGCCTTTTCTCACAAAGCTGCCTCTGCTTTATGCAACAATTCTATCCTTTGCTTCATCCATTTTCGGTTTGCTGAGTAGTTGCATGCAGCTTTCCCCACCACACAGATTATAAAATCCATGTTCCCACTCTCCTAGCTGTTCAATCCATCTGGAACTGACCTTCGTAAGCGCCGTGACCTTCACTGGTGGCTTCATCAGTGCATGCCACGTGGACTGCCCAGCCCTGGCCTTGGCCCCACTCCCCTCGGCCATCCACCTGGGCTTGGGCCCCTCTAGTGTCACAGGAACGCCACAGTGGGCACTGTCACCCCCAGGACACACCCACCCTTCCCACAGTAAGGCTTCGAGATAAAGCACTGGCTAGACTTGCAGAGTTTTCCTTCTACGTGGACTTTGAAATTGCCTGTCCAGGTATATTTAAATGTTTTTGCTATTTTTATCACGCTTACAACGAGCTTGCACTGAGTAAGATTTCCACCCTCACAGCCTCTCCCTTCCTGCCACCACTCGTCCATGTCACCTCTCGTGTCCTGCAATGACACTGCCAAGCTTACCACAGAAGGCTGCTCTGGTCACGCACACATGTCAACACACTTTGCGCCTCTGCATACGAGAGCAGGGAAAACCTGTGCGCTGGCCTCTGTTGTCACTACAGTTCATGAGACCATCACCAAACCCAGTGTCTCATTCTCCGGGAGACACCGTTTGCCTCTTGCTGCTCTGCTGTTTCTGGCCTGCCTGCATCACCCAGCACCTTCAGCCTTGGGAGGGACAGAAGCGGCATGAGTCCCGTCTTGTTTCTAAACCGGCCACGAGTGTGTGGCCCACTGAGCATCAGCTGATGTCCTTTAGCAAGCTAAGCACAGTTGTAGTCCTGGTTTCCTGGGAAGTTTTCATCAGGAATACGTTTGAATTTTCTCAAATGATTTTCTGGTGTTCATGAAAATGACCCTGGATTTGTTTTCCTCCTTTACTTACTGATGGGGCTGTTAAGCCCTCCTTATGCTCCTGGGGGAAATGCTACTTGGTCACAAGGGGCTGCTCTCTGTGCTCTTTAGGTGCACCCTGCCGGCTGGTGTACGCCCTCAGGGGTCCCAGGCCCCCTCCTCCCACATTCACACACAGGTCCACGGCCTGGCTTGGACCTCATGCCGCAGTATGTGTCTTTGAAAAATACATGGCGGTCAGGCACCGTGGCTCGTGCCTATAATCTCAGCACTTTGCGAGGCTGAAGCAGGTGGTCTGTTTGAGGTTCGGAGATCGAGACCATCCTGACCAACATGATGAAACCCTGTCTCTACTAAAAATACAAAAATTAGCCAAGCGTGGTGGCATATGCCTATAAGCCCAGCTACTCGGAAGGCTGAGGCAGGAGAATCACTTGAACCTGGGAGGTAGAGGTTGCAGTGAGCTAAGATAGCACCACCGCACTCCAGCCTGGCAACAAAGGGAAACTCTGTCTCGATCAATCAATCAATATGGCACTGTTGTGGTATGTAAAAAGCGATTTACTTATTATTTCTTTTGAGACAGAGTCTCACTCAGTCGCCCAGGCTGGAGTGCAATGGCGCGATCTCGGCTCACTGCAACCTCGCCCCCTGGGGGTTCAGGCGATTCTCCCGCCTCAGCCTCCCGAGTAGCTGGGACTCCAGGCACACGCCACCAAGCTAATTTTTTGTATTTTTAGTAGACAGGGTTTCACCATGTTAGCCAGGATGTTCTCAAACTTCTGACCTTGTGATCCACCCACTTCAGCCTCCCTAAATACTGGGATTACAGGGGTGAGCCACTATACCTGGCCGGTTTACTTGGTTTCTGTTTTCTCATTTCTAAGTCTCTGCTTGGTCTTTAAACGCTTCCTCTAGTTTATTCTGTCCTCCTTTTAGACAGTGCTGAGTTCATGCTGATGATCTGTCCAGGATCTCTGCCTTCAGCTACGAGGCGAACTCACCGCCAGCTGTGTTCATTGGCCTTTCTCCTGTGCCCTACAGGCCGGTGGGAAGGCCCTAAATTTAGGGTGCCTCTCACCCCCAGTGGTGGCTCTGGTGTCAAAAAAGCCTTCTTCTATATCACTGCAAGTGATGGGGCCTGAATTCTACCTTGTCTGAGAACAACTCCTCTCTTCAACTTTACCTTGACATGCCTTTGCCCACAAATTTTTTAAAACTAAGACAGGGTCTCCCTATGTTGCTCAGGCTTGTCTCAAACTGCTGAGCTCAAGCAATCTGCCCAACTCAGCCTCCCTAAAGTGCTGAGATTATTGGCGTGAGCCACTGCGCCTGGCCTGCCCAGAATTTTATTTATTTATTTTTTGAGACGGAGTTTCACTCGTTACCCAGGCTGGAGTGCAATGGCGCGATCTCGGCTCACCGCATCCTCTGCCTCCTGGGTTCAGGCAATTCTCCTGCCTCAGCCTCCTGAGTGAGTAGCTGGGATTACAGGCACGCACCACCATGCCCAGCTAATTTTTTGTATTTTTAGTAGAGACGGGGTTTCACCATGTTGACCAGGATGGTCTCGATCTCTTGACCTCGTGATCCACCCACCTCGGCCTCCCAAAGTGCTGGGATTACAGGCGTGAGCCACTGCGCCCGGCCCCAGAATTTTATTTTTAACCTTCCAGAATTTCTTTGTTCCTTGCATGCCACAGAGGATTCGGTTTTATGACCCAATCTGGAAGTCTTTTAAGAAGCCAGTTAGCTGTTTTCCTCCTTCCAGGTGTGCTGGGCACAGTTAGAACATCTCCATCTGTCTGGTTTGTTTCCATGGGCCTTCAGCCTTTCACTGAGGCTCAGGGACTGCTTGATTTCCTGCTGTTGGGGACTGTCCTCTCCCACTGACAGCCCTTTATGTGACTCCTCAGCCTGCATGCCCGTGTGCAATGTCCTG